TATATTTTTATATATATTCAAATAGAAAACAGTTATTTTAAATTGCATTTCACAATAAATAAATAAATAAAATAAATAAAAAATAAATAAGCCCTCTTTAAAAACATTAAGAAAAATCCTACAAAATTGTGAACAGTATACTGTAATTGAATCAGGTCAGTTAGCATGTTGATATTTGACCCTATGAGCTGCGTATGCCAAAAAGCTACAGTTCAATGTTTTGTCACGTCACACTGCTTCTCGTTAGCAGGTTACAAAAAGTATCGTCACTGGAAAAGCTACACTGTTAGAAAACAGCTGTTCTAATGTCACATTACCAAAAAATGTACTTAAGTTAGAAGCTTCGCAACTTTAAATTATGTACTTGTCAGCACACTCATATAGTAAAATATAGTCTGTTCTTCTATTATGCCTAATTATCAGGACTTTGAGCAGGTCTTACCTGAATATGCCCTCAGTCTGCGCTCCACCCAGAGCCAGCACATACTGTGACAGCTGCACTTGCACCCACGGCAACTTCCTGTCTGGGAAGAGTTCACTCTGCCGCTCCATCACTTCCTCTAGAGAGCTGCCGAACAGCGAAGGGGTCATGATGAAACGCCGACTGTGGTCCACTTCCTCCAAACTAGGCTTACGAAGACCCTAATGGGAAAACAGAGAAATTACCAATTATTTTTCTCTTTCTTAAACATGTGATTCTCCAAACAGTGCATTTGATCAAAACTCACCTTTTTCCCTCCAGTGACCGCCACTTTCTGGAGCTTCCGGTAGCAGTACTTGGCATATGTGCTGATGGGGAGAGCTAGAGGCAAAAAGACATGAGTGATTACTACTATTCTTAGACACAGGGCCTGCATAGTCTAATCGCTGACAGATTTACATCTAATGCATCAAAACCTGTGTTACAAGGTAAAGACTTTGAGAACTGAGTTACTTTTCTTTGTCTGGAACATGGCTAAATTGCTCCATTCTAGATATGGATTAAACAATCATGGAATCACAGCGGCACGTGGGGAGTGAAGCACTTCAAAATGATTCACAGTTTTAAAAATGAATGAAAAATGAAGATTTAATTCCATTTAAAGTGTGGAGGAGGAAATCCAGCCAGCACATTCTGTTAATACTGACTCATCAGATCAACATGTGAACTAGAGGAGACAAAATAAACAGACAGAGGGGTTTTCTACTAGGCTGCATTTCATCAATGTGCTGTGACTGTCTTGTCCTTCTGTTATGTAAGAGACAAGGACATTAGGACTATAAAATTAGACATCGCAGAACATTTTCCACTAGTTGGAATAAATTACATTCCCAGAAATCACTTGACGTCAGATTGAAAAACAAACTCCAGGCTTGTAGAATCACTGGGATTTATTGTACATCCAGCAATGCTGAATTTACAGCAGCCTATGTTCAGCATTTTAGAGAAACCACAGCCGTTCTCTACAGGATTCCTCTGGTTTCAGGAGAGCCTCATAACTCCAAAGTAAAATCCATTGGGGGCATTTCTAATACAGGCTTTGCGAATCCTAACTAAAGGAGCCAGATGGTAAAAATCTGTGCGGCGATCTTTTCTGGAATGTGCCCCAAACTCGACACCTCTTCAGATTTATGGCAAACAGGTGACAGACATCCATGTTGACACAACCTCTTGTTAATTTCCATGCACCAGACTGCAATTATATCTAATGAGAGATATTGCATCATACATTTGCACTTGTTCTCTTTTTTTCTCTTTTTTTATTCCTGAACCTAAACAGTTCATTTACAGGGTAAACATACAGATTCTGCTGCATTCATACATGCAGACTTAATTCTGATATTTTGCATGACTGAATAAGCGCTGGTGGTCCGGCTTTGAAACAACAGCTTGCCCTCATTTGAATTGAAACGCAACAATAAAGCGAAGAAAAGCCAGAGGAAACAACAATCTTTTCAGAGGCCACAAATGAGACCACACAGATCTTTGTGGTGACTCCCTATGTCAAAGAGATGAGTAAATTCCAGTTTTACAATGGCTCCGTCATCAGGGCTTCCAACTTAACATCCCAATAAACCCCTCAGCTGGGCCGGCTCTACACTCAGACCAGACCTAACCTCAAGAATCCCCCATGGTGACTCACACCCAGCTGCAGCAGTATCTGTGAAGTCGACCTATTCATCTGGACATCTGCCCATCAGATCCAACTAAATGACTCAAAAACATTGCAGGCCAGGGCTGACATATGAGCCATATCCTGCTCCTTCAAGTGGCCAGTGGCTGGTGCTGGTCTAATGGGCTTGTAACTACAGTAGAGACGGCTCATGAGTAGGTCTGCATCAGCGGCTTTGAGTCACTGTTATGCCATGCCTGCAGGCAGTGAGACCCAGTGTAAGGGATCCTCACTGCGGTCAATGCCACGGCTACATTTAGGCATAAATCTGATGAGATCATCAGGACCACTCACTGTGGTAACAGTCACAAGGTCAAAGTATCACCATATGAAGGCACTCTCTTTTACTGATAAGCACACGTGATGTGTCCTGCCCTAAAGGGCTAATTAACATAGTTTTATTGACATGGCAAATAACTGATTCCACTAATGCAGCTACAAATGAAAAGTACTCAATATATCTCTACAGAGGCCTGCATACCAACATCTGATTCTCCTTCAGTGGATTTTCATAGTGGTGATGAAGTAAATCTCTGGTGGATCCATTACATAACTTTTTCTCAAATGTCTATTTCAACAAACTGAACAAGGTGACATTAAAGGTCAATTTAAATTTTTTTTGTTCCAAAGTGTCTCAGATAAGGAATCATCCATAGTTAAAAATAAACTACCTTCTGTTTCCTCTGAGTTCTGTTTCCTCTTCTTCCTTGACTTTGAGTTCTTCTTCTTAATATCCTGCTGGTCGAAAATGTACGGTGTTACTGCAATGGAAACACAGGAAACAAAACAACCCATTAAATAACCCATACATAAAATAGTGCTGTCATTTGATAATAAAAAAAAAAAAAAGAGAAAAACAATTAATTATATGTATAGACACAATTGTTATGAAATAAATATCTGTTTATGTTTTAATCAGAGGCGGACAGTAACTAAGTACATTTACTTGAGTATTGTACTTAACCCTCATCTGTCCCTCCCGAACCTATAAAAGTGTCCCTCACGGGTCAAAATGACCCGAAGGCCAAAAATGACAGTAATTTTATTTTTGGTCCAGAAAGCTTATATTGGTCCATTTTTATTTTTTTCAAATTTTTTATGTAGGTTTTTTTTTATTTTTTATAATTTTTTGGTGATTTTTATTTTATTCACATTAAATTCTGGATATTTGTATGAAAATTAGCATATTTTTATCAATTTTTTCACCAAAAAAAAAAACAAAGAAAGACACCATTTCTGCATATTTATACTTTAAACATGATGATCCATCAGGACCTAGGTCACTGAGTGTCTCTGACGCCATCAGGTGGGGAAAAATTACATAAAATTGCATTTTATGATTACAGCCACTAGAGGGGCCTATTGAATCCTATGGAGATTCTTAAATGAGCCAAACAAGTGAAATCTTTAAAACTACACCAACTTGAGGCTTCATTAAGCTTTCAGATATATCTCGAGGCTTTTAGATATATATCAAAACATAAAAAAATATATATATTTTGTAAAAAAATTAAAAAATGAAATTGATACTGAATTTTAATCCAAACACATGCATATTCATACAGTTTCATAAATATGTAATAAATATAAAAGATAAATTAAAAAATATAAATATGATATAAACTCATTGGTCTCCACCCCATCACTCAAATTTAACTGTGTTAAGTAAAAAAAAATTCAAAATGACAGTCATTTCCCAGCAGAAACATCATAAATGCTATAATGTGTTTCAATGGGAGTGTGTGTGCCATGTGTGTGTGTGTGCCTGTGTGTGTGGGTATGTGAGTTTTTTGTGCATTCGGAACATTCTGCAGTCTCAGCCCTTTGTTTGGGTATGCATCTTTTCTGGATTGTGTCAAATTTTATATAGTAAAAAAAATCTAATAAATAAAAAAATGCTGTTTTTTTCGGACATTTCATTCATTCCTATGGCCGGGTAAAAATGACCCGCGAGGGACACTTTTGTTTCTTTTTTTATTACACCTTATTTTATTACACATAGAATCCTCAAATCGACTCAAATTGCTTTGTGTGTGCTCCATGCTCAAGTGTGACAAAATTAAATAAAAAAAATCCGCAGTTTTTTCGTAAATTCCATGCTTTTCCAGTG